AATAGCCGCGAGAAATGCAAAATGTAAGAGTGGACAGATTTTGAATGCGACTTGGGGGCTCACTTTCTGTCTCGGGATTACCAGGAATATCCTGGTGTCTGCGACAGAGTTTGAAACACTTCATTCAGAAATCTGATGAGCCATACGCCCGATACGAACGACTCTACTGACTCCACTGACTCTATACAAAGCTCGAATATAAAATATATATTCGCTAGCACGAAGTCGCGACCCTAACCAATCTTCGGGACCAAGCATATGAAAACGAAACCATAGAAGCTCAACGACGCAAACAAACCAATCACCACTGATGCTTTAATCATCACCACTATCATATATAACTGAACAAAATGCTGCTGGAACTGCAAACTGCAATGGTATGTCCAACAGCCCGGAAATTCTATTTATAATGTGAAAAAGATGGAGTTTTAACTCAAAATTACCATCCGCTGCCAGGAGTCGAGGTCACTCAGGCCATCTCTCGATACTAGGCGTATATATCAAGTATACGTCCTAGTCGTACCTCGCCGTATCAATCGGCGGTCAATATATTAACGCACTCCTCAACTTACTTTGGAGCCTCACATGTTCGTATACTTTCAACAGCATTATCATCGACGAAATTTTCGACGAACATTTGGTACGCTTTTCCGAAGTATTCGAGAGGTTCCGCAAGGCAAAACTAAGAATAAAATCGAAAAATCGGAGTCAGCCAATTAAAATACCTCGGCCATATTATTGACCAAAAAAGCATTCGGACCGATCCCGACAAAGTTAACGCAATAACAAACTGGCCACCGCCCACTACGAACCAACATATTCGACAATCCTTGGCCTGATCGTATTGCCAAATTATTGCAGATTTTTTAAAACCAACTTCTCCATTGATTTGCCTAAAAAAAGGACGCAAAATAGACATGAGGAACAGCAGAAGAAAACGTTTTCCACCAACTGAAAAACACGCTAATCTTCGCACCTATCCTACCCTATCCTAATTTCTCCCGCCGTTTTGTCCTTCAAACAGACGCCATTACAGATTAAGAGCCGTCCTCACCCAACATTTCGACAATAGCGAGCACATCATTCTTTACGCGAGTCACACCCTGCTACTAGCCGAGAAAAATTATAGCGCAAACAGACTCAAATGTCTCGCAGTAGTCTGGAGCATCAAAGGGATGCGTAGATATCTCGAAGAATATATCTTCATAGTAGTCACGGAACACTAATCGCTTCGCTTATTGCAACATCTAAAAGAGTCGGCTTTGCGGCCAACTCGATGACTCTTCGAGTTGCAACAATATCAACACGACATCCGTCGCGGCGATGTCGTCCCTTTCATGTCATCCGGCTCTAAGCGCAATTGAAAACACGGGCAGTTGATGAACGGAGTCATAACGATGTAATGCAGGATTCACATCGCGTCCGATTTCCGACGTACGACGTCCAATATCCAATAAGAGAAATCTTTCTGATAGAGAATTCAATTCTCCAGAAAGCTGTTCTCCTATTGGATATCAAACATCGTCGGACATCGGACGCGGGGGAATCCTCCATTAGATTCGCATCTTTACAGCGTTATTTTTGCACATTATATTTTTTTGACATTATCGACATAATATCACAAACATACGTAGTGCGAGAACATTTAAAAGAGTACCAAATAATACCGTGCTTTTTATTGCGCTTAGAATCGTACGAATATAGGAAGCCGCCCAACGAGACTCGACTGTGTATTCTGATTACATGTTCTGAAACAAGAAATTATATAAGCTGTGACGTGGCAGTCTCTAAGGGTGCCCGACATAAAAGGCGATAGTCACTATGCGAAGGGAGAAATCAATGTGTGCGGCGTTCCGTGTAAATTAGAGAAAGATTTGTTTTTAAAATGTTTTGTCAGAGAAACCGTTGGAATAAGTGACCCGCATACTTTAGGTATGCAGAACATTTGGTGGTCTCGCGTTCCTACTATTGTGTCCCGCGCTCCCCTTGCCGATCACGTGGAGGACAACGATCCAGACGGTGAGAAAGACTCCGGAAGACACACTCTTTTTGACGATGAACGAGAAGAAGCAGCAAACGAGCGTCGTTTACCGAGCTGAACTGAGAAAAAGAAAATAAACGAGCGAACAGGGGGAGAGATCGACAAGAGCCACGCCGCAGGGGAGTCCCCGTTAACTGTAAAACCACCAATGCGTTGTAATAATCGTCTCTGTTTAGTATAACTGCGGAGGAGGTTTCGACTGGCCGGCTATCATATCACTTCTTGTAAAATTGATTTTAGAGTCTTGTATCGATAATAGTGTCGTATGGTATAGGGCCGGACTGGTGAAATACGACTCCTCCAGCGGAAGCGAACCCAAAACATTAGAAACACTCCCAGTCCTCTCAGCGACAAAAACATAAATACCCAGATAGCACTCCACAGAAATCTCCAAGGACTCCGAAGGATGTTCAGAGGATGTCTTATGTTCTAAGAACATCCGAAAGATATTCTGAAAACTTTCAAATGTCCGAAGAAGTCTCCGGTATATCCGTTAGAAATTTATCCTGTTTGGGTAACTACGAGAATGACATCGACGACGATTACCGTCTGTAACGAATTGCTAATTATTTTTTACCGGCACAAACTGCGGAATAGACAAGCGCTGTGATCAGAATTTAACATTCGATCATGAAAAGCACGTGTGATCTCTTATGCTCAGTAAATCAGCGGCTATCTACGAACTAACTAGCCAATCATTAGTGGAAAAATAATCTCTATGAACCAGAAAACCTAAGATCGCCCGTGTTGTAGTATTACTTGTACTGTAATATCATTCACATAATAATAACACTCGTGTCGTTATTTCGCTCTTGGTATATATGCTAATCACCATCGTATTTGAGAATAACTTCGAAAATTTCCGTTATGTACTTCGCGACCTACTGGTATCTCAATTATTCGTTCGGAAAAACTGATTGTAACGCGACATTTGTACTTTTGTACTTTTTGAAGAATATATGTTTTCTTGTTATCAATTACAACGATTGCATATACAGTGATTATGTCCAATTCCCGACCTATAAATCCGATACATATTTTCAGCACCGACGTGACGTAGAAAGAATATAATGGAATTTTAACCAGCTGTCGCCCGAGAGTTTGACTTTAGGGGAGAATCTTCACACGACCGTCACAGCCACACCGACAGCGCCAGCAGCACCATTTCTGCCTCATTAGATAATGTAGACGAACTCAATGAAATCCCAACTAATCATTGCAATATTGTGGAAATAAAAGACAATTTTTTAACGCGCAAAGACAATTTAGTTCTGTTTGTGTCATCAAGGGGAGAAATGTACGATGTAAGAATTCGAATGCTCTAACACAGGCCTTCTATCTCCCCCTTGCCACGCATCATAAAAGTGATGGTTGCGATCAGTCGCAGCTCCAAGCTTAGAGGCACGACCGTCACTTTCTTGGCCCGCCGCGCGGCAAAGGAGAGATAGAAGGCGTAACTCCCGAGAATCGGCCAAAATTGGCAAACTATTCCGAGTCCTGCTCTAACAAAACAACTTTCCTTCCATCACAGACGCGATGGAACACTAGGCCGAGTTTAAGTCAATAAAAATTACAATATTATATCATGCGTAATAAAAGATCGAATCTTATTTCTTATCGAGGAGGAAATTCTAACAGAAATAATATACTCATTGTTAGATGTTTGCATGGAATTAGATTTAAAACCGTCATTTATTTGCAAGAGTAATATTGACATCATCCCTTGATTAATTAAATACTTACCGATATATTACAAAATGCATCGATCAAATTCCTAATATGCATTAATGGAATCATAGTTCTCTTCCTTATCGATAGATAACGCCTTATAAACACCCAAAAACTAAGGAATAAGACCACCTGCATCGATAACCTAGGCAACTATATTATTTATGAATGCAGAATAATGTTGAATACCCGAAATGGAATGAGAGAGCTTAAAAGAAATACGAGTGTTAAGTAGGTCGTCAAAAAGCAACCAGTCAACTCTGCCTAAAGCCAAAGATGGTATACATGGTACTCGTGGGATATTATTACAGTCAATAGAAATAAAAATAGGAAGATGATCGCTACCAAAATTATAATCTAAGACTCTCCAAGATGATCGTAATGTTGGAGGATACAAAAGTCAGGTCGATTGCACTAGAGGAGAACAAATCCGACGACCACCATGTATTTGAGCCGTCATTAAGCATACAAAGCTCGTCTGAAAGGTTGCCCTTTCAAGACGCAGACCTGGAATATCAGCGGATAAATTAGGGAGATTATACCAAAGTTAATGATGTGCATTAAAGTCACTACAAATAACGCAGGATTGCAGCAGAGTAAAAAATGTAAACCAAAAATCGAAATTAATATCAGGATGGTTAGACCGAGGCAGGTTATAGATAGAAACAATAATAATGTATTTATTGAGGTCTAAAACAAGTTTTACAGCGTAAATATTTATATCTAGATTATAAGCTTGATTTAAAAAATTGGAAATAACAGGAAAAAACTGCAGATTTTTGTAAATAAGAATGGCAGATCCACTACGATTGCGATTTCTAAAACACGAATGCAAATTAAAATTAATAAATGTAAGTAATTAATCTTATCCTCATAAGATAAGTATGTACGAGTATCATCCTCTATACTTGTGAAATCGGTAATAGATGGTAAAGCAACCGATCTAGCCAGCGCGCGCTTGCGTGCGCGCGTTACTGGGGACAAGGGAGGGGATGAACGTGTGTTGCTAAGAGGACAGACAGACAATAGCGAGAGCTCGTAGACGTAGATACACAAATCCGTGGTAGTCACTAGTGCATTATACATATATTCATATATAACCTCGTACTATTCTGTATCATTTCCACTTAAATAAATACTCATATTACAACAATCTGGTAGCAGAGCGTGGTTTAGATTGTTAACATACGGAAGTGGAAAGTGATTAGTATTATCTACTACAAAGCTCAACATGGAAAGAAGTGCGTTGCCAGCAGTGCCGTTATTAACAGGATCCAATTACTTAGTCTGGGCTATGAAAATGGAAGCAATTCTAAGCCTAAAGAAGCTGGACAAAATGATTAATGAAGAAAAGCCAGCGGAAAATGCCGAACAAAAAACAAGGATCGAATGGGAAACGAAGAATAAAGAAACAGTGGCATATATACGTTTACATTTATCGGACGAACAAGCATTACAGTTCGCAACCGAAAATGAAGCGAAATTATTGTGGATCAAGATTAAGAATGCATACGCAGGAGCGGCAGAGGATCAAAAGATCGACGCGAGCAACGACTTGAAATTTCTCCGTATGGAAGAGAAGGAAACAGTGAGCAACTATATTGCACGTGCACGTGGCTTAGCTACAAAATGTGCATCGTTAGGATTAAATGTGACGCCACGAGAATTAGTATATTACACAGTACGAGGGATAAACAACCAACATAAAGATATCCGCGAAATATTGAAAACGCAACGGGAAAAATCCTTGGAGGAAATTCACGAGATACTCAAGGAACGTGAGAAAGAATATCAACGTCGTGGAAGCCATATTAGAGAAACGGACGGTGCTTACGCAGTCCAGAGGAAGAACGACAAGAGGTGCTACAACTGTGGAAGAAGCGGCCATATTGCGAAGCTCTGTTGGAATCGTAAAAACTACAAAGAGGATCATCACAGGGCTACCAACAACTACAAACGAGACGGAAGGAAAGACAATGATACGAACCGAGGAATTACAGAGAGGAAGAAATCCGCCAATAGTATAGTGAAACCTGTAAATGGTAACGATAAAAAATACGCATTTATGATTACTAATTCTGATTCAGTAAGTAATATTTATGAAAATTGGTTATTTGATAGCGGTGCGACTAATCATATGGCAAACGATCTTAAATGGTTTAGTAATATCGATTTTCAGGCTGGTGATCTCTGTCAGGCGGGAGTTGAGTCAAGATTGCGTTATGAAGGAATAGGTTCTGTTGAAATTGAAACAAGAAATGAAAATAATGAGATTATTATTATTGAAATGAGCGATGTATTATTCGTACCTCAACTCAGGGAAAATTTATTGTCTACGACGACGCTCATGAAAAAGGGTTATAAAATAGTACAACAGAATAATGTAATTGTCATAATAGACAAGGGAAATAACGCAATTTTGACCGGTGAACTAATAGATAAACGTTTGAAATTTTTGGCTAAGCCATATAATGTAGAAGATCACAAATATTCTTACAATATTGGAAAACCATCAGACATTGATCACAAAACATGGCATAAACGATTGGGACATATAAACGATCAATATTTGTCTAAAATGAATAAAGATAATCTTGTAGATGGTATGCACGTATATTTTGATGATAATTTCGTCTGTGAAAGCTGCAATCTTAGCAAAATAACTAGGAAACCACATAAAGTAGTGACAACAGATCAAAGTAAACAACCACTTGAACTGATTCATGGTGATCTGTGTGGACCTATATCGACTGAATCGCTGAATGGTTCCCGATATATGCTTGTATTAATAGATGATTTCTCTGGTATGTATTTTACATATTTTCTGAAGTACAAAAATGAAGTCTGCGAAAAGTTTGTTTCATTTAAAGAGAAATATGAAAATCTACTTAATGTTAGAGTAAAACGTTTCAGAACTGACAATGGTAGAGAATTTTTAAACCGTGAACTTGACGAATTTTTAGAAAATAACGGAATAATTCATGAGAAAACTATACCGTATAATCCTGAAAGCAATGGCAAGGCAGAAAGAGCTAATCGAACAATCTTAGAACGTACTAAGAATCTGTTATACGATAGTAAGTTACCAAATATATTTTGGGCAGAAGCCGCAGCATGCGTTAGTCACGTTACTAACGTAACCTTTCGTAAGAATAAAGATAGAACGCCATTCGAATTATTTTTCGGTATGAAACCAAATATTAACTATCTTCGTGTATTCGGATGTACAGCATATTGTTATGTGCCTAAACAAAAACGTGACAAATTGAACTTGCCCGGTAAGATAGGAATAATGGTAGGTTATGCGCGAGAAAGACGCGGTTACAGAGTTTATATACCAGAAACAGGAAAAGTCTTGGAAGAAAGAACAGTAAATTTTAATGAAAATGATTCTGGTGCGCGCCTTATTAATAAAAATTATAAAGATAGTGGAGAATATAATTTACAAACATATTTAGAACCGGAACAAAATGTGACTGAAATTCAAGAGAATAATGAAATAAACGTAGATGTAAATAGTGAGATAGATAACGAAGAAAATGAACATTTTATAGAAGCAGAACGTAGACCACGCGGAAGACCTCGAGGTACGACTCGAGAGGTTATAGAGGCAAGAGAGTGTTTAAGACGTGAAGAAGATAATACGAATCGAGAAGGGGTTCGAAGATCTGAAAGATTGCGAGAAAAATCAGTCAATTTGGTAGAACAAGTTAAGATGCCATCAAATTATGATGAGGCGAAAAGTAGTAAAAATTGGATAGATTGGGAAAAAGCCATGAGAGAAGAATTAAAGTCATTTGATAAACACTCGGTATGGGAAATAGTAGACAAACCTAATAAGGAAAAAATCACAAAAAGTAAATGGGTTCTGACTGTCAAGAATGATAAAGAGAATAAAAATGTCAAGTTTAAAGCCAGGTTAGTTATAAGGCTACAGGATATAATTATGTTAAAAACAAAGATTACGAGGAATCCTACTCACCTGTAGTATCTATAGAAGCATGGCGCCTGTTTATAGCATTAGCTAGTAAACTAAAACTAAACCTGCGATTTTTTGATGTCAAGACAGCATATTTATATGGTGATTTATTGGAAACAGTCTATTTGACATTGCCTCCAGGATTTGAGGATGAATATGAGAAAGACAAGGTTCTTAAACTTAAAAAAAGTATATACGGTCTACCTCAATCAGGACGTAATTGGTATTTAAAATTCAAGAATACTCTAATACAATTGGGTTTTAAACCATTAACTTCGGAAAACTGCATATTTATATTGAAAAATCAAAAGGTGTTCATAGCTATATCAGTTTACGTTGATGATTTCTCGATTATAGACAACAATTCTAAATATTGTAATGAAATATTAACTAAACTGAGACAAACTTTTGAAATTAATGAAACTACTAAAAACAATATGTTCCTAAATATTAAGATAGAAAAAACGTAAAATGGTATAACATTATCATAGACGGAATATATCACAAAATTATTAAGAAAATACAATTTCGATGAATGCAAACCAGTGAACACTCCTATCGTTCCAGGAGAAGACAAAGTATTCGAGAAAACGGACAGTGTAATAGATATAGATTCTTATAAAGAAATAATAGGCGAACTATTGTACTTAGCGAATCGTACAAAACCAGACATCGCATTTGTAACATCATACTTATCGCAATTTAATAATAGACCAGAAAAACGCCATTTTTTGTTAGCAAAACGAGTGTTAAGATATTTACAGGGCACTAGAGAAAAGGGATTATTTTACTCTAATGAAATGGGAACTTTAAGAGCATATTCAGATTCTAGTTGGGGAAATGGCGAAAATGGAAAATCTTTCTCAGGGGGAGTTATTATGTTAGAAGACTCTCTAATACTATGGAAAAGCAATAAGCAAAAATGCGTAGGATTATCTACTTGCGTAGTAGAATTATTTGCATGTTCTGATATAGTAAAGGACGTAAAATGGCTGTCAAACTTATTAATAGAAATGAAACTAGAAATGTTCTTGAATAAACCTGTTGTGATACATTGTGATAATACGGCGGCTATAGAATGGATGAGGAGCGTGCGATCATCAAACAAGACACGTCATGTTAATTTGAGATTTCATTTTGTTAGAGATGAACTAGAGAAAAGTAATATAGATGTTAAGTATGTTGAAACAAAGTATATGATCGCCGATTTTCTTACTAAGGCAGTAACGCATGAAAAATTGATATGGACATTAAGAAAAATTAATGCGATAGATTTAAGTGATATCAAGACATAATATACAGCGATAATACTCGTAGGGGGAGAGTGTAAGTAATTAATCTTATCCTCATAAGATAAGTATGTACGAGTATCATCCTCTATACTTGTGAAGTCGGTAATAGATGGTAAAGCAACCGATCTAGCCAGCGCGCGCTTGCGTGCGCGCGTTACTGGGGACAAGGGAGGGGATGAACGTGTGTTGCTAAGAGGACAGACAGACAATAGCGAGAGCTCGTAGACGTAGATACACAAATCCGTGGTAGTCACTAGTGCATAATACATATATTCATATATAACCTCGTACTATTCTGTATCATTTCCACTTAAATAAATACTCATATTACAACAATAAACGTAGGAGTAAAATCATCTGTCAGTCTGGTTTCAGAGAGACAAATAATCTGCGCTCCAGTCTCCTCCACAATAGCAGCAATATCATGAACTCTAGGGAATAAAGAACGACAATTCCATTGAATAATATTAAAACTCATTATTAAAAAAGAAAAAAAAATAATAATAAATAAAAAAAAGTAATAAATAAAATAAAAAAACGAACACTAATGATAAGAATAATTAAGAAGGAAATGCTTTTATATAATAAGATTAACGAAATTCTTAGAAAGTAGAGAAATCTTTGTTCTATCATTTGAAGAGAGTAGGTTAAAATTATTAGAATGAAAAAAGTTTTCAGCAAGAAATTTTTCAAAAATAAAGTCTAAAGAAGAATTATCGGAAGAAGGATAGATATGTTCAATTCTGCCCAAGGGACGAGTGGAAGATGAACGGTTTAGGAAACTAGCAGAATCAGAGCAGGGAACTGAAGCCTTTAAAGCAAAGTCACCCGAATCAGCAATTAGATCAGATGACTTTTGAGAGTGAACATTAGGGGACCGAGCATTTGAAGGAGAAACATGCTCGGCATCTAAATGGGCTCTCAGGCGAAAATTTATGAGAAAAAGAAAAATATTTAGCACTTGAATTAGTGTTAATCAAAGATTTAGAAGAAAGGGCAGCCATACGATTATAAGTTTTATCAGACTGAGAAGTGTAGGCCATAGGTTTCCCGCTCCAACATAGATGAATCACGTTCTAATAAAGAAGGATCCAACGCTTTATCCGGATTTCCTGGATCAATATTCATTTCGATAGATAGATAGAAGATATTATATATTAGGACCTTAACTTAGTTTCCGCCCAAAAAATACTGAGAAAAAGCATTTATTGTAAAAAATTTATTTAAATTATTTCAATGAAAGTATTTTCCATCACTTTCTACAACTTTTTGCCATCTTTCTGGCAACTGGGCGATACCATCTCGATAAAACGATGTTTGTTTCGAAGCAATCCATTCGTCCACCCATTCTCGCACTTCTTCAACATTTCGGAAGCGTGTACCACTCAA